CCAGCTTGCTCATCTCAAATTTTTCCATCGGTTTCCTCCATAACTCTTTCAATTAACACCTTAACATATAGTTTACCCACAATGCTAAGCAAGCTGATACCACGGTAGTTTTTACAGTCCCGCTGTGACGCCTTTCCCTTATACATTGTGACTATAACGGCTTTGCACCACTCTTCCGGTACCCGCTTCAGTTTTCAACATAAATTAAACAAGGTGTACAGCAGGCCTGCAACCACACCCTCATCAGCCCTTAGCATTTCGATACTCTATCATATACGGCTGCCTTACCTGCTTTCATGCTTTTCATTGCTTTGTTTTTTTTATTTTTTTATAAGATAAGGGTGACAAACGAGCACACAGTCCACCTGATGGTAAATGGTTACTGCGGCCCATAGACCTCTATGGACATAGCAAATCAAAATGCAGATTCGTTATCGTTATATATATAATGAGGACTAAAATGGAATGCCTCATTTACAGTAAAAAGGGCCTCCGGCTACCTGCACTCACTAAGCGAAACGCAGAGGTAAAACTCTACTTTACGCTGATATTCTGTGAGTTCGTGGTACCACCCCGGTTCGAGCCGGCCCATCCGTGCGACTGCAAAAGCTGCCGCGTGGCCCTACCACTTGTGGTTTCATCTACACTTATCTCACTACTTTCCTCCATTTCTCTCGAAATTTCTATTTCACTTAAATCAGACGACTTTACACTCTTAAACACGCTTTCAAAGTATTCCTTTCATCTCTTTAAATTCGAAACTTCACCATTCAGCATGCAGCCATTCTCGTCTCGTATAGCATTCATTCTAGGCTGTTTGAACTTCCCCTGGCAGTTCTTACGAGCTTCCAGAACATTTCAATATTTAATGATTTCTTATATTTACGCGAACACTACACATTGAATAAAACTATTTTTTACGGATTATATCGCGTTTAATTAACTTATTTTATATTCCCGACGTTTCGGTTGCTTTCCAGCAACCGTGGTCACGGGGGACTGAGGTGACTGACGTCCCGATGTCAAAGTTAACCCGGAGTACCTTCAGCTTTTTAATTATTAATTTTGGTCCGATCTACGCAGAATGAACTAACTGTGTCTTGAAGTCTTGCAGTGGTATGCTTGGGTTTAGTTTTAATTTTATGAATTACAGGATCCCAAGCAGGTGGTAGTACCCAGCCTCCCTCTCTATTGAAATTAGGATGTTTTTTAATTTCAATAGCCTCACGTATCATCCTTGGCAGGAATCGATGTTCTTTCGCGAGGACTTGTGGTTTATCAAATCTAATGTAATGGCGGCGGCCGTCTAGGATATGATCACAAACTGCAGACTTCCCGGAACGTTGGTGCTTCACGTCAGCTATGTGTTCTTTTACGCGGGTTTTTATTGATCGTTTTGTTTGCCCTATATATGAGAGACCACACTCACAATCAAGCTTGTATACTCCTGCATCTTGTAGAGGAATATTGCACTTGACGGATGGTAAGAACTGACTAATCTTCTTCGGCGGCTTGAAGAATGTTCTAATTGAAGCTCGCTTCAAGATGTAGCCAATCTTGTCTGTGACACCTCTGACATATGGTAGTACAGCAGGCACACGCTCGACTGTGGCCGGCTTCACTCGGTCACTGTGACGTAGGCGCGGAACCCGAAGCTTGTTGTCGTGTAGAACCTGCTTGACGTGCCGAAGCTCGGCGGCCAGGTGTTTGCTGTCACAGATCCCTCGTGCTCTCTGCAACAAAGATTTGCCCACGGTAGCTAACTGTGAAGGGTTATGGTGGGATTCACCGTTTAAGTATCGGTTTGTATGGGTCTTTTTTCTATACACAGTGTGACCTACGGTGTTATTAGGATTTCGAATGACTAACACATCTAGGAAAGCTAAAGAATTATTTGCCTCTAACTCCATAGTAAATTTAATTTTAGAGTTTATGGAATTTAGATGTTCTAAAAATGCAGTTACTTTGTCTGATGGTAAAATTGTGAAAGTATCGTCTACGTACCGCTTGTAGAAACTTGGAGTTACTGGTGCAGTAAGCAGGGCTTTCTCCTAAAAGTCCTCCATGAAAATATCGGCGACAATGGGAGATACCGGTGAGCCCATGGCAACACCATCTACTTGCTTGTAAAACTGTTCCTTCCACAATAGGTAGCCAGATGTAAGGCAATGTCTGAGTAATACTGCATATTCTGCTGGCATGTTGTTTTCCTCTAGTTTCCTAGTTATAATTGAGATGCAGTCTTCAACAGGTAGGCATGTAAATAGAGACTGAACATCAAAACTGACCATAGTTTCATTGTCAGTAAGACATAGGTCTTTTATCTCACTGACAAAATGGTATGAATCCTTAGTGTGTGCTCTTGTATGTCCTCTGAGTGGTGACGTCGGGAATATAAAATAAGTTAATTAAACGCGATAGAATCCGTAAAAAATAGTTTTATTCAATGTGTAGTGTTCGCGTAAATATAAGAAATCATTATGTAAACCAGTACGGACTGGAAATAGCAAATAAAATACGCCGACTAGAAGATCTCAAAACCAAGCGCGCAAGATACATAACAGCTTTAAACTTCTTGAAGAGATGCAGAGACCATAATCTCATTCCTACGTGTGTCAAGATATCTACTAAAAAAGACATTCGAGGAAGCGCTAAGATCTTAAATCAGGCAAGCAAAAAATTGTTAATAACGGTGATTCAGCAAAAACGTACCGATCTATGTTTCATTAATAAAACCATAGACAAATCGTCCAGTGATCTAAAGACAGTTTTATCGACATTTGATTATAAGAATTGCATGGAAACTTTAGACAAACGTGAAACAACTAAATACAATGAATGCAAAAATAAACATATAGATAAATACCAAAAACTAACAACCAAATCAAATGTCCAACACCAATGTCAACGTAATAACGGAACGCAATCATTGACAACAGACGCGAGTAATAAACAACGTGCGGTCTATAACCTGTCAAAACAATCTCTGGACGACGCGACGATAAAAGTTTTGGCCAAAGGTATGAATTTCGCTATAACACCGCAAAAAATTCCGTATGAAAACATTATCTGTAGTGTTGAGGACTGTCTGTATAAAAATAATATTGGTAATGAAGATTTAGAGGCTATACGTCAAGACATTTCGTCCTTGTTACGTCGAAGCTCAGCGCCGAAATTAAATCTTCCCAAAGATGAATTTAATGCATTGAAAAACTTACGCAACAGACCAGATCTTACGATTCTCCGCGCAGATAAAGGTAATTTTACGGTTATAATGGATACGTCGGATTACAATTTTAAAATACAACAACTTTTATCGGATGAAAGTACGTACGTAAAGGTCAAAACAGACCCTACAACTAATACGCTTAAAACAACTAGCGATCTAATAAAGAAATACTCCGAGAAACTGAATCTAGACGTAAATTCGATATTACCTACGTGTGTCAAACCGCCGAAGTTGTATGGGTTACCAAAAATACACAAACCGAACGCTCCATTACGTCCAATAGTGAGTCAGATCGATTCGCCAACTTATAGATTGGCTCAACACTTAGCAAAAGTACTATCACCACTCAGAGGACATACAAGAGCACACACTAAGTATTCATACCATTTTGTCAGTGAGATAAAAGACCTATGTCTTACTGACAATGAAACTATGGTCAGTTTTGATGTTCAGTCTCTATTTACATGCCTACCTGTTGAAGACTGCATCTCAATTATAACTAGGAAACTAGAGGAAAACAACATGCCAGCAGAATATGCAGTATTACTCAGACATTGCCTTACATCTGGCTACCTATTGTGGAAGGAACAGTTTTACAAGCAAGTAGATGGTGTTGCGATGGGCTCACCGGTATCTCCCATTGTCGCCGATATTTTCAAATGCAGAAGGCGATGCTCCTCGATACCGCCCGCATCGTCCGCCGGTTTATTTTCCTTTCCCCCTATATGTTGGCCGTTTGGTCTCCCCTGCAGAGGGCTTCCAACTGGTTGGGTGTTTATTTATTTATGTATATTAATATATACATAAATATATAAACGTATTTATTTTATTTTGTTGATATATATGTATGTTTATCATTTTCATTTACAATTATATATTTATATCTACAGCCCAACCAGATGAGTAAACTTTATAGATAACCCACATAATAATTATATAGATGCCCCAAATAATAATAATAATACATTTATTTCTGACCAATTATCCATATTTATTAAAAATTATAATCTAAATGCCTATAACATTAAAGAAAATATATAATATATAGATGCCCCAGATAATAATAAATCATTTATTCTGGACCAAACCTTTAGTACATTTTTCACACCCACCAAACTGCGTAACAGTTTGTCGGCGGGATTAGCGCTTGTCTTTATACATTTGGTTCAAATACGTAAGTATACAATTTAATGAAAATAAAACAGTGTAAATAATAGCAAGTATTGTGGCAACGCGAGCCGCCTGCACACCCCGGTCAGCGGACCGCGCTGACACAATTATTTTGATATTACTAACATTTAGATAGATAACTCTTTCTTGCATTTATACAAAGTGCTTACAATTACGGAAAATTTAAGAACTACAAACGGTGGTCATATCGCTTTAAGCGATTTCTACCTGACAACAACATCATAGCAATGTTTAAATCTTTAAAATAAGGTCTAATATACGTAATTGTCAATAGTTATATTAAAACAACAACAAATTAGATAGTATTTTCAGTTCTTGTGACTAGCGACAATGGGGTCGCTCCATTACAACTTCTGTGTGTTAAAGCGTTCCCGTAGAACTTCATGGCGTTAAAATAAAATATCGCAATAGAATATTTTATATTTACTCGAATTTTCCTACTTTTTCAGATCGTAAAGCAAAGTAAGAAGTATCATTCAACTCCAACTACCACCTCAGGTTTGTTAAACACCAAAAAGTACATTATTTTGTTTAGATTTTTATTTATTTTTTAAATATAATTCGTCTTACAGGTAAACAAATGAAATCATTGAGTGATCTGATATTTGATCTGGAAGGTTCGGACGGCGAAAGTGTTTTCTCAAGTCGGGACGTAAAAGATCACGTTAATACCTTGATTGTATCAGGCTATGACACTATTGCAACAAACCTTGTAATTACACTTCTCTTAATCGGCTCATATAAAGAAGTTCAAGACAAAATCTGTAATGAGTAAGTATAGTTCAGATAATTAAAAGTTTAAAGTTTAGGTCGTTAAATTCATAAATTCATCAAATATGAAAGTATAAGCTAATGACTCTTGTCCCTAAAACACGTCACATAATACGAAATCTTAACTATACCAATTACCTTTGTAGTCTCTTTTCTCTTTTATAAGCTCTAGTTTCTTCTTTCCTTTAAAATAAAAGCAAAAATAATTAAGTAGTTCATATACAAATTAAATACACTGTGTAACGTCAGCATCACCCCAATGCCATCTCACTTCACAGTCCTTAAACCGAAATTCAAATTTAATACGGTTGTATTATCTGGGCTCACGCTGCGTGGACGTATTTACATCGGTAGAGCCAATGCCTTCCCGATTCATAAAGTGCTATGGTGTGCAGAACAGTTCTAAGACTATTTCTCGATTGAGAATAGTGAGTGTGGTGCATCATAGTGACCGTCAGGTTGCACCACCCCGCCATATCTGGGGCACGGCAGTGCCCCCGCCAAGTCTAGCAAAAAAGAGGCACGGCCATACCATTTTTTTCTCGAAGCAGTACAGGTAATTTTCGACCGCCTATTACTTCTTTGTGGAAGCCTGCGTTTAGGAACCAAGCAGGCATTGCATAAACACGGTATATTTTAAATTTTATTTGTTTTGAACCAGTAGTTTAAGAATTATAACTAGTCAAAGTTTCTTAATTTTGTCACTCGCTGACTGACCGATCATCAAAATTCTAAGGCCCTTCTAGCAGATATAGAAGATTCAAATTTAGAATAAAATTTGTGTTTATTGTATAAATGAAGGAAAAACTAAAATATTTTGCATTTTTTGTCCACTTTTCTAGATAAATCAACTGCCTAATTAACTTTGTAATCCTATATAAATATATAGGATTACGAAGTTATATTTGCAGTGAATAAATCAATGTACCTGTATGTGTGGAATAATACCTATCCACAACCTAGATATAACTATCTACAAAAAGAAATGAGATGCCGTCAAAATCATAACTTGTAAGAAAAAACAAGTCTCGCAACTCAGTTCTTCTATCGTAAAAAGTTGTGAGATCCATGTTTATTTTTATAGAATTAGGGTGACAAACTAGCATACAGTCCACCTGATGGTAAGTAGTTGCTGTGGTCCATAGACATCTACATCTATCCTCAATTACGATTCAAAATGCAGATGCGTAGTCGCCCGTGAGGACTAAGATGGAATGCCTCGTTTCCAGTAAAAAGGGGTCTCCGGTTCTCTACACTCACCATACGAAACACAGCAGCATTAAACTGCTATTTGACGCTGGTATTCTGTGAGAGCGTGGTCCTTCCCCGGTCGAGCCGACCCATTTGTTCTACAAGTATACTATCAATATAGCTGCAGCATGGCTCTACCACGTGCAATACGTGGTAGTGCGTACCAAGTAAGATTTGTGAGATACATTGTGTTTTCATACCATTACTTTGAATTTTTGAAAATTGCATGAAAATGAATTGCGTAGTTTAAAACATCTAAGCGTACAGACGGCGGGAAGCGATTTTGTTTTATTCTAGGTACAGAAAAAATCACAAGCATATGGTTTGCCCAATTCATTTCTCGGTTAGTGTATTCGTTCTTCAGTTTGTCTGATTAACTAACTGAATGTTTTTATCCAGATTTGTGTCTTTATAGATCTTCGCGACAGTTAAAGTAAAAATAAGTCACCATCGTCTCTGTTCCACCTCTGTTGCTATTAGTTAATTTATAATTAATTTAAAAAAAAAAGTATCAAAATTTTATTTTGCTATAAAACATTATATACCTACTTTTTAAACTTAAACTGTATGCTACTTAATTGCTCCTTAAATGCTTCAGCAGAAGCCGAAATTGATCCACCTCTATTGCTATTAGTTAATATAGAATTAATTTTAAAAAAAATTTGGAAAATTTAATTTTGCTATAAAACATAAAATATCTACTTTTTAAAATTAACTGTATGTCAATTAATTGATTCTTAATTACTCCATCAGAACCTGAAATTGCTCCACCTTTATTGCTATTAGTTAATTTAGAATGAATTAAAAATAACTATCGCAAATTTAATTTTGCTATTAAACATAAAATATCTACTGTTTAAATTAAACTGTATGCAACTAATTGCTCCTTAAATGCTCCAGCAGAATACAAAATTGCTCCACCTTTATTGCTATTAGTTAATCTATAATAAATTAAAAAAAATTAAGTATCGAAAATTTAATTTTGCTATAAAACATAAAATATCTACTTTTTTTATATTACCAATGTCAATAAGTTGTTCGGATATTCTAGCTTAAATTTATTACTACTTTAACGTGTTTTCACAAAATGGAGGACATTAAACATGCATCAAGTTCATCAGCTGGCGTTGAACATGAAACAAATTGCAATGTTTGACGAAATTCTGCTGCTAACAAATACTACGCACCACGAAACCGGTTTTGATTATTTCGCAGATCTTGTATGGTATGGTCTAATGCATCTTAAGACTTATGATCTCCTTTAGAAAGAAAACAACTCTAGGATGGTTATTTATACATTATTTATTGCAAACATAATATAACTGTTAAACTTATAATCTTTGCATCCATACAAACTAAGTGTATTTAACATTCATTCATTCATTTATGGGGCAATGTATACGCTTTTACAACAGAATCCCAGAAAATGTTCAAAGTTTGTCAATAAACAAGTTTAAAAGTTTTATTAAAGAAAAACTGTACAAAAAGTGTTATTATAATATCAAGGAATACATGAATGAAAATAACCCCTGGGAATAAGGTGACCGCCACCATGCTGGTTCTATGAAAATTCATTTAAAATTGTATAAACAAAATTATTGTTAAGTGAAATTATGTTTAAAAAAAAGTCCCGCTGGGTTTCTTGCTGGTTCTTCCCAGGACAGGTATTTTCCGAACCAGTGGTAAATAAAATAATGAATTTCAATAAGTATTATGTAATAATCCATATTGAATAAAAATCATTCTATTCTATTCTATTCTAATATAGCTGCAGCATGGCTCTACCACGTGCAATTCGTAGTAGTGCGTTACCACGTAATACAAAGTCGGTTAATTTATTCAGTCCCTACTTAAGGGTCCTTCTGTCTTAAGTTATTACGTAATTAGCTAACATAACAACATCTTACAGTGACCATATCAATATAAAATATTTTTTATGTTTAAAATAATAGTTTGACTTGGCAATCGCACTAAACTTAATAAATAATATACTTGTGAGATACATTGTGTTTTCAAACCATTACTTTGAATTTTTGAAAATTGCATGAAAATGAATTGCGTAGTTGAAAACATCTAAGCGTACAGACGGCAGGAAGCGACTTTGTTTTATTCTATGTAGAGATAAAAATCACGAGCCTATGGTTTGCCCAATTCATTTCTCGAGTAGTGTATTCGTTCTCCAGTTTGTCTTATTAACTAACTGAATGTTTTTACCCCGATTTGTGTCTTTATAGATCTTCGCGACAGTTAAAATAAAAATAAATCACCATCACTTATCATAACAAAAGTAGTAATTCCACACAATTGAAGCTAGTAAATAAAAATCCATTTAAGTTTGGTGTTTAATTAAATATATGTTGTTAGCAACTTAGAAATTATTTGTTTTATTACTAGTTTTTGTATACAATTTATGTTATATTTTTTTAGTTTCTTATAGTTTTATCTCTTTATTTGATATATTTTAAGAGTGAAAAAGTAGTATAAAGTTTTTATTTTTATAAAGGCTTGAAGAAGTATTTGTGCAGTCCGATAGGGATGTTGAAAAGCAAGACTTACCTCGTCTTACTTACTTGGAGGCAGTTATAAAGGAATCTATGAGGCTATACCCACTTGGTCCTGTGTTATCCCGACGTCTTGACAAGGACCTAAAACTAAGTAGGTCTAAAATTTATACATTATATTTAACTCTTACGAACGTACTTTCTGAACAAAAAACTATTTACTTAAAATAATTAAAAGTTAAAAAGTTAAAGTTACAGCCTATATTCATCGCACTGCTGGGCACAGGCCTCCTCTAATTTCTGAGTGGGTTTAAGGGCAAGGAATTGTCCGTCGCGCTGCTCCAATGGGTGATGGCGAAGTTCACATGTTTTCGAAAAAAAATTACTTATTTCTCATTTATGCAGGTTTCCTCGCGATGTTTCCCGTCTGATGTTATGGGGAGCTTTCAGTTGCTGAACTCTCACAATTCGACATATGTAAACAATACCAAATATTTTATTCGGTGAATCTTTCACAATCAACAAGAAGTTATAAAGTAAATTATTAGTCACATGTGATATGTGATGATGATAATGATCAGAAGAATAAGATATAAAGGTTCGTTTGTTTTCTTACAGGAAATTATACTTTATATTCTGGAAAAAATTGTTTCTTATCCGTCTATAGTGCACACCGACATCCTGTGTGGGGTCAAGATGCGAATGATTTTAAGCCGGAGAGGTGGCTGAACCCCGAAACATTGCCAAAGAATCCAAATTATTTTTTACCTTTTAGCCTGGGAAGAAGAAATTGTATAGGTATATATACTAAAACATTATTTTTTAAACTAAATAATTTCTTTTAATTAGTGAAAGATTAATATGCATGTATCCGTGTGGAGGAGTAGTTTTTTTTCGATAGTTGTTTAAGTGTGTTTGCCATAAGCGCGTATGAATCAAGAAGCTTTTTGTAATAAATTTAATTTTTTTTTCAGGTAAAACTTACGCGATGATGTGGTTAAAGACAGTTATTTCACATTTATTGCGTAAATATCTAATTACTGGAGATCACAAAAAACTTGTGCTTAAGTTCGATTTCCTGCTTAAACCTTTTTCGGGTCATTACATAGCTATTGAAAGAAGAAACTAAACTAAGAATTTGAAACCTCTATCTCTCAATCTAGCGGAATACGTTAGTTAAAATATAATAAATTTCTCTGTGCAAACGCTACATTGTTTTATCACATTATGCTAGTTAAATACACTTAGTTTGTGTGGATGCAAAGATTATAAGTTTAACAGTTATATTATGTTTGCAATAAATAATGTATAAATAACCATCCTAGAGTTGTTTTCTTTCTAAAGGAGATCATAAGTCTTAAGATGCATTAGACCGTACCATACAAGATCTGCGAAATAATCAAAACCGGTTTCGTGGTGCGTAGTATTTGTTAGCATCAGAATTTCGTCAAACATTGCAAGTTGTTTCATGTTCAACGCCAGCTGATGAACTTGATGCATGTTTAATCTCCTCCATTTTGTGAAAACACGTTAAAGTAGTAATAAATTTAATCTAGAATATGCGAAAAACTTATTGACATTGGTAATATCAAATTCCCTTTAGACGTTTTGACTGGCTGCGCTACCTTTCCGAGTAAGGTGATAATAATACTCAATCAAAAACTGAACTAATTTAAAAGATATTCCTGTTGTTCCAAATTACAGAGATCATATTTGGTTAAAGAAAGAGGAAGTAGGAAGTAGGAATATTGGAAGCTAAAGCATGGATGAAAATTAATTAAACTTAAAAATTGAACATGAAATTGCTAGTGAATTGAGGACATACAGATCAGTCGATTCCGCAACTAACAAATATGATTTCGTCAACGTTTGAATTAATTTTAAGAAATAAAAATGAAATTACCGGTGAATTAAGGACATACTGGTAATTAAGTAAGTAGTTATTTATGTCAAGTATTATACATATAAAACATTAATGAAACGTATAATTAGATAATTTGCGTAGTGTGTACAGTGCATAGATTTATTTTATAGCTATCTTTATTCAGCTATACATCGAGATATTCACAAAACATAAATTTGTATTTAAAAATACAACCTTCCCGTAGTATAAATGGTATACCGCGTGGTAAATTTTGAAGACCTGTGTTTTATTATCTTAAATTTCAAATTCGAATTTATATTCATGCGTCTGTTTAATTATCTATTCGTTCCGCTCTATCTAATTAATCGTTAATCTTTTACTTTTAAATTTTTAAAAACTATTAATTATTTGACGTCTGTATTATAATTAAAGATAAATAATTATCCATTTGTTACCTTGGACTTTGGTATTTAATTAAATATAATATGAAGAATGGTTTCTCTAGATAGACTAAGACTAAGACATTCTTAATTTTTTTGCAAGTTTTTTTTTACACAAATAATATAAATATAACGTTTTAAATTTTATTTTTGTTGTCATTTTCGAAAATAAAAACATCTTTTCTGAATTAAAGATTTATGTCTTATGTAATCAAATGTTTTTGTATTTATATCCATAAAAGATCTGAAATATAATCAGTAACTTTGTCGATGTGGTAATTGACGTGTAACACTGCTGTAAGTGACCCCTGAAAGACTTGCATTCGGACACCGCAAACTGTTAATTTTGAACGTATGTGTTATGTTTTTAAGTTTCTTATGATTTTATCTCTTTATTTAATACATTTCAAGATTGAAAAGTAACTCCAAAATTGTATTTATATTAACACATTCACTATCCGATTTACAGACACAATAGTAAGACAATAGCAATGCATTATATTATGTAATGCACGGGACAGTGAATGTGTTAAGGCTGGAAGAAGTATTTGGGCAGTCTGACAGGGATGTTGAAAAGCAAAACTTACTTCATCTTATTTACTTGAAGGCAGCTTTAAAGGAATCTTTCAGCCTATACCTATTTGGTCCTATGATATTCTGACTTATTGACAAGGACTTAACACTAAGTAGGTCTTAAATTTATACGTAAAATTTATCTCTTATTAACGTACTCCCTTAAACACAAAACGCATATATGAAATAATTATTATAACAATTCTAAAAGACTAGTAAACATTATAAAAGTATATTAACAGCTTACAAGCTCCGCGCTAAACTTTAACTACCTCTAACTATTGAGAGGGTTTAGGAGGAAACAGCTTTGACTGTCATCACATGCCATCGAAATATGTTGGTTTAACAGATATGCAGGTTGATGTCTTGCTGCACTACCAAGCATCTGATGGATGCACTCTTGAAACTGAAATTAACAATATCAACTTTACTGGCGGGGTTGCAGCTCAGTTACTAAGAAATTTAAGGGAAACATCTGTGGCGGCGCTTTCATTGCGCCACAAGCGTAAATACATCGAAGCCTTAATCACACCATCAAAGTTTCGAACTAAAAAGCAGTATGTATGCCACTCCCCGGGCGGAACACCTTGCCCGAGACTCCGATGTGGAGCACTCCGGCGCAGCTGCGCCAGAAAACTTGGGATCAAAGTTGACCAAGCCGGCCTGCCGCGCTGGAAGTGGCGCGCGCAAAATGGCGAATAAGGCCACGTGTGATCGCATATTCTGCATCATGGCCGACAAAAAGATAGGCTTCTCAAAAGCGAAGCCCTCCGTATAGGGCAGGAGGACAATCGTCTCCGCGTAGTCACACGCGGAATTCCAAAGAAATTCGACATGGCCTTCGTAAAGGAGGATCTGTTAAGACAAGGCTTGCCGGTTAAGGAGGTTCAATAAGATATCCAAAACCCCTTATAATCTGGTATTGGTCATTCTTGAACTCTCAGAAGAGGGTGAGAAAATTTCGATATTCGTACCTTATGTCACCTCTCAAGGGTCTGTATAGAACCCCCGCATAAGAAAAAGGTTCTTGGGCAGTGCGATAGATGCCAACTCTATGGACTCTTAGCCCGTAACTGTTTCGCCCGTCCTAGGTCCGTAAAGTGCACAGGGGACCACGGCACAAAGGAGTGAACACGCAGCGCTTCGTCACCCTTCGTGCTATGCGGGGCGTAGGTGTATACTCCGAACTTCCGCAGGTGCCCAAAAACCCCTAAAGCACAAAAGCAGAGAGGGAGGAGCGCTGCGGGTCGCAAGTATCCCCCTAAGCAGAAGGGAGCACAGGGCCCTCAAAAGAAGGACGGCCCTCCCCCTGCCTTCGTCCCGACTCCGGCCCCGAAGCAAATTGCTTGGGCGAAGCCGCTGAGCATGGCCAGTGGAACACCCAAACAAGTATCCACTTCACTTCCGGCTCCCGCGCGCGCTCCGGCACCAGCTGTCGTCCTCGCCTCACGTGAGGAGCCGCCACCCAAACCGGCTGTAAAGTCGACCCACTCCGCGGCCTTGGAGTATCTAGCCGAAAACTTCAATCTGGTCTGTGATTTCGTTGAAAGATTCAATATAAACGAGTTTCGCAACTTGGCACACAAAATTAGGACTGCGCGCTCTGCTAAAGAGCGCCTCCAGGCCTCCCTGGATCACATTTAAGAACTTCAAGGCTAATTAAACCTAAAGTGCTTGCTTACTGTTAACTCGGCTCTGTTTTATTCTATCTTAACGGATAACACAACAACAGCTAGAATAAAACCTACGTCGACAGCTGTCGCCTTCTTCAATGCGCAGCCTATAATATCAAATTGACGAAGTCTAAACTTATCAATAACTCACTGATCATCAGATTGATATATTGCTAGTGCAAGAGACCTTTCTTAAGCCTAGCATTAGAGACCCCAAAATAAATAATTATAGACTAATTAGAAACGATCGTATAGGGGCACAGTTAGGAGCGACTCTTATTTATTATAAGTCGTCCCTATATGTAGCTCACATTGACACGCCTCAATTTACTAAATTACCGGTTGCAAAGTAGCCATGACTGGTCATCAACCGATCACAGTAGCCTCTGTATATTTCTCACCTAAGAAAAAGTTAATAAAGAGCGATTTGGAAGCACTGTGTAACCTCAGTAACTCGGTAATATTAGCTGGCGACTTATATAGTAAGCATGAAATCTGGACTAGTAATTGTAAAGTTATTAACAATACTAAAGACTACGACTTATTAGCTCTTAATAGCTTAAAATTCGACATAATAGCTCCTCCGGAGGACACTAGATATTCAACGAATCAGTCTCATACCTCGACTAAAATTGACTTAGCACACTTTAGGAAGACAGATAGACCTATGAGTCAGATAGACCTGTAGATCACCAGCTGATAGACCCCGAAAAAAACAGTATTGGCGGTCATTAATCAGCTGGTGATTCTTAAGGTACCGCATGAGCTGGCAGTTTAAAATGTATTTCATTATTTTGGAGGACAAGGTGAAGGCGATAGGCCTGTAGTTAGACGGTTCTGAGCGGTCGCCTTTTTAGGGATCGGATGGACAAAAGCTGTCTTCTATGATTTCGGGACTACGCCTAGGGAGTAGGAGTAGGCAACTCTGGGGCACACGTCATCAGCACAATTGGGGGAATTCCGTTAAGCCCACTCGACTTCTGGATCCATTATATCAACAAGCCATCCCTTAGCTTAGCTACTCGTAACTAACGGCTCTACTCTAGAGCGAATGACTCTCGCATATCGCATGTAATCATTCCTTTATATCAAGAACAATTTAGTGCCGTTGTAAACTTTATAGTACATTAGTTTAACGGCATCCTTTATATTATTCAGTGTTCCGCACGTGCCTCCTCTCTCTGGTGAGATGATTTAAAAGCAAAGAACATTCCAACGTGCTGCTTTAATTCTTGCTGACTTCACATGTCCCAAAATGTTTCTTTTTTATTTAAGTAGGTTGTAATAACTTAGTTTGCTTAATTCCACGTAAAGAAAGAAAATGATGTGTCTTGCCCAGTTTTAAGCGGACCTCCCACACTACCTTATTATAAAACCTCATTATAAAACTGGACAGTCTTATCATTTCATTTCTTTGCGCGGAATCAAGCAAACTAAATTATAACAACCTCATTATAATGGATAATGGTTTTCCGCAAAATTAACGACTAATTCTATTTACTATCTTTTTTATATCGAAGATTATAGCAGGTTTTATCACGATTCTTTTTTCCTCCATGATGATTTACCACGTACTCGA